GTTGTTGTTGTTGCTGCTGCTGTTGTTGCTGTTGCTGTTGATGTTGGTGTTGTTGCTGTTGCTCAATGCAACCACGCGAGCTTTCGACCACTTGTCGAGGGCTTGCTGAGCAGTCTGAAAAACCCGCAAAAGCGCTTGTTGACGGGAAGTCTAGCTGGTGTACCGATCGCTGAGTGTCAGCTCGTGGCTGTGGCCTCGACGGTTGTAATGAACTCCGTGAACCGTTGTAAGTTGCAATAGGATTAAGAAACATGTTTGGATTAAAAAGTTGTTGAGCAATGTTCGCCGCAACACCGTTGTTGTAGTCATTTTGCACATTACTGATCGTCGCTGCTGTACCATTTGATAAATTTGGGGTTGATGGCCCAGCTGAATCGTCATCAGAATCTACACCTCCAGTTTTATTCTCCTTCCGTTGTAAGGCTTCCATTATTTCAGCGTTGGTCTTACTTTCGTGTGGTTCGCTATATTCGGTGTACTTAAGTAAAACTTTGTCCATATCGGTGCTAGCGTATTGAAACAACTTGTTTCCAGAATTGAAAATGATCAACGCTATTTCACAATCACATAGTACCGACAGTTCATACGCCTTCTTCATTAGACCGAATTTGCGCTTCGTAAACGTAACCTAAAAAGCTTTTGCCTATTGTTATTGTTCCACAAAGTTCGCCTTTATAAGTGTTTCTGTTTAGTTAATACCAAAATCAATTTTTGGAAAGTTCATATTCCGCTTAAAAACTAATCTTGTTTCTGCTTCTACTTGCACCGCTTAAAAGTATCACTGTCACGCTGTTTACCTTATTCTCTCTATTTAAATACTTCCGCAATATGACTGAGAAACAAGTCTTCGTTTTCACCGTTTTTTTGATGGAACAAACATTTCATTCTTTCTTGAAGAAAACTGACTGAAATGGGAAAGAAAATTTGGAGCATTCTTAACACACCAACAAAAAAAGCCGTTATTTCAAATTTTCAGCATTTTAAAATAAATCGCCACTAAAAACTAGAAAAATTTTGATAAAGAATGCACAGAAAGAACACTTGCTACGAGCTCAAGGTAAATGGAGCTTGTTATTTGCAAACGACGGTAAAAGCTCTGGTACATATTGTATCATGTCTACAACTCTTCGAAAATGTTGTACTGCGGAGTCAAAAACAATCGAGTATTATACAACCAGTAAACAATTTGTGAAAGTTTTTCTAAAGAGGGATACTTCGTTTAAAAAAAAATTATTTTGCGAAAACGGCAACGGTAAGCAAATCAATGCCTGATTCTAAAGGGATATTTTGTCACCAAAGTTTCTGGTGAAAAAGTTTTCACAGACTTTGCTTTTAGTATTTCGCTAAGTCCGCCCAGCTCAGTTTTCTATTGATTTTCATTTTGAAACACCCAGAATTATTCAGTGACGTATTTAAATGTTTATTTGAGGAATATAAACAAACGTTCATGTCGAGCTGAGCCGACTTTTTTTTTGCAAAACGGACCCTGTTTTTACAGAAG